GAGTCGCTGGAACCTCCGACGCCTCCACCGCCAAGGGAGCAGTCGGCGGGCCCAGTCCTCGCCACAGCAGGGTCCCGGCCACCTCTCCCGGGGCAACACTCCAGCCGGCACCCGTTCGCATCGAAGACCTTGAAGAACATCACCGAAGCACCGTCATACTCCAAGTGGATCGCGAAGGCGCCTCTTGTCCTGCAAACCCGGGCGATTTCGCTCCAGCCCCGAGTCATGAAGACCTCGCCCGGGGCAACGACCGCGACCTCTGCCTCGGTCGCGAGGGTGCTGCAGCCGGCGTGCTGCAGCCAAAGCTCCAGGAGTTCTCCCTGCGGGGTGATGGAGGCGAAGAAGGGAGGAAGGCGAATCCAAGACTGAGGAGGCATGGCGACGTGGAGCACGAATTCTCGGGAGGAGCCCTCGGTGTGGACCCCAGGGGGGACGACCCACACCTTTGTGACCCGTCGGCGCCGACGGCGGCGCCACCCGTGGCGATCAGCATCAGCTCCTTCAGGGCCCTCGATGTGGGCGTACAAGGGAAGTGGGAACCCCGGCGGTGCCCGCTCGCACCAAGGCCTCGACACCACCTGATGGGCCCCCTCGTCCGGGCCATGGAGGACGAGCCGTTTCTTCGGTGGAAGTGGGTCTGGTTCCTCTCGGGGAGCCTTTCCCTTCTCTGCCGTCGAGAACCGGCGGATCGGAGCCATCGCAGCAAGACGGAGCAAGGACCGGAAAGAAGGAGAAGCAAGGAGGGATCGACTGGAAGGGCGCGCGCCGTTCCGTACTTATGGCCGGCGAAGGCCAACCGCCGACCTCCACGATCACAGGTAATCATGACCCACTTTGCATGCAGGAACTTGTCCAATCCGTGCAGTTGCCGAGGCGCCATGGGGAAGTGGAGGCGCCCACGTCCAATCAACCGCCACGCGGCGCCCAAGGCCGCAGGCTGTTAGGGCCCGCGGCGCTTCGCTCTTGCCCTTCCGCCTCCCTGCACGGCCAAGTCCGGGCGCGCCTTGGGCCCGGGGGCTACTGTCGGCGTTCTAGGAACGGGGGTCCCCAGACTTGCCTGCCTGCGGCCTGCGGCGTGGCTCAAAGGGGGGCCCAGCATGGCCCATCTTCACCAACACAGACCCAAGACCCTCGCGAGGGGCCAAGCCTCGCGGGGCGGACGACACGGAGCTTCCTCAGGCACGGCCTCATCAGGCTGGCTCGTGAGGAGGCGGGGAGATCAAGGCGGGTTACCTCACGAGGTGCCCGTGACGCAAGCCATGACGACCAAGGGTGCCAGGCGGGTGCCAGCCCGCGTAGTGTCCTCCTTTCTCCTTTGGTGCAAAGGGGGCAAGCGCAGCCGCGGAGTACCGAGGCATCAGGCAAAGGTTGCCATTTCAGTGCAACGAGACCAAGGCCAGGAGGATTGCAAGACGGAGGTCATCGTGGAGCCCAAGACGGCGTCACCATGAGAGCTTTGTGCAGGCGAAGACTACTTTTGTCAGGATAGCTGGTACTAGCTGTCCCCCTTCAAATTAGCCCGCCATTGCTGGCTCCCTTCCCGCTCGATATTTGGGAATAGGACCAGGGCCTCTATAAATAGGACCAGCCACCCACAAGGTTGGAGGAGGTGAGAGGTTAGAGGAGAGAGGTGGAAGGAGATCGAGATAAACAATCGAGAAGAGAGAGAGAGAGGGAGAGAGAGAGAGAGAGAGAGAGAGAGAGAAGGGTGACTGAACTCCTCCCAGCAGTTCATCGCCCCAGCCAAGAACAGGCCCTCACGAGGTTATTCTTCCTTGTATTGTTCATCATCATCAGCCCAAGAGGCAATCCACCACACCACACACTGGAGTAGGGTATTACACCACAACGGTGGCCCGAACCAGTATAAACCCTGTGTCTCTTGTGTTGTTCTTTCCATAGCTTAGATCTCAGCGAGGCGGAGGGGTGCAGGTAGGTAGGAGGCGAAATCTCCGCGCGCACCCCAGTGTTTGAACCTCAAGGGTCTGCCGGAACCCAAAATCCGACAAGCAGATCCACCAAAGTCAACCACCGGTCAAATCCCGCGAGATCCGCCGGAGACACACCTCCTCACGCCCTCTGGCGATGCTAAACGCACCATGGGGAAGAGGCCTAGGCGAGGAGATCCTTATTCCATCTTCAATGAGCCACCGTCGTCTCGTTTTTTAGAACAAGACACAAACTCTACCAAAACTGAAAAACACGTAAAAGGGGGCCCTCCCACCGAAAAGGCTCGAGATCCATCGCTCCCCCATGATCCTAAGGCCAAAGGAATGAGGCAGATCAGAGATACCATCGACGGGAGACTAGAACCCTAGCTGTCTTTTCCCTTGGGAGGAGAGAAGAAATCGAAGCAGCACAAACATGAAATCGACAGAATCTGAGCATTCCACCTAAAAAATCAACATCCTTTATACTAGCAAGAATATACTCCCTCCATCCCAAAATAAGTGTCTTAATTTTATGCTAACTTTAGTACAAGTTGGACTAAAGTTGAGACATTTATTTTGAAACAGAGGGAGTACTACTTCAGCAAAAAAAATCAGTGTCAAAAGAATAGAACTTTCGGTAATGTTATCTGACGAATGTCAGCTGGGACGAGGATGGCAAATGAATGCTTTTTTCCTAATAGTTTTAGTTGCTTCGTAAGATCAAACTGATTGTTTTAAACAAAAAATGTATTTTTATGAAAAAACTGCCATGATGTTCTGGAGAAGTTGTTATCCCCTCACAACTGAAGCTGCCAATGAAATCATTCAAAGTGTCACCCCTTCCCAATGGACGTTCTAAAAGGGTCCAAAACTTTTTGTATGTGATAACGTGGCTTCCCATGAATCCCATCCTATAAGGGCATCCCCAACACTGATCCTTAAACTGTTCGCATACGTCTGGACCGTATGGTCTGGACGTATTGTGTCATCCAAAGCGGGCCGGTGTCGGTTCGCTGAGTGGCCCGGACGCACTTTCTCCCGCAAAATGAAAGCGGAGTTGGAGGGCTTTGCGGGAGTCCGAACAACAGCTACGTAGGACTCCGACAACCCCGGCCCACTAAATCCCCCCTTCGGTCTCATTTTCTTCCAATCCGCCCCTGCTTTGCATCAGCACGCCCCTCCTCTGATGTCGCAGCTATACCTCTTCGGTCGGCACACAGGCATCGCGGACCTCCGCAACCAGCACCCGCTCGCCTTTTAAGACGACACCCTTCACCCAGGACCCGTCCGTGGGCAAGTACACTCTGCCGCCCTTGTCGCCGTCATCCATGGCAGACACCACACACGGTAGGTGTTCGGTCAAATGACATTGAACTTATTTTCGAACTCCAAGTCATTGTTTTAGAGTACGAATGATGGAGGGATACTCGACCATGGCGAATGAGTTTTTGTGCGATGTGTGGTTGGCCGTATCCGCGGATTTCGTAGGCAGGAGCAGAGAAGGGCTCTTCTGGCAGCGCGTGCATGATACGTTTCACGCGCGAAGCACATTGCGCCGTACAATATGCACATCATCCATGATCGCAATGTGATGTCGTTATCGTATCGATGGTACGCCATCCAGACCACAGTCACCAAGTTCTATGACACAGTTGATATGTTGGAGGCAAGGTGGCCATTGCGTGCGGCAGCCGAGGAGATCGTAAGTTTTGCTTCTTCTTGCTCAACTTGTTGATAGGTTCATTCATTCATTCAATGTTGTTCTACATATTGTGCAGCCCGCACACGCTATCGTTATGTACAACAGGATACAGGGATGGTCATTTACGCACATAGACTGTTGGATGAAATTCCAGGGGCAGTATGTGTGAGACGGCATGATCATTCATGAAAAACTTTTGAACATTCGGCTATTTTGTTGAATTTAAACTATTGTTTTACTTGACTTATTTGCATGCTATGTACGGATAATCTGTGCTATTTTTTATCCAAACATTGATGAAACCCACTGTGTTTGCATGAATTTCGTCCAGTTAGTTGAATCCGGCTTGAAATGTTTGCGTGCAGCATTCGATGGCCGATGGCCAGCTCCCTCGTGTCCGTGTACTGGTCTCATGTTCGTGAACGGATGCCATAGCAAATTTACGGATCAACATTGAAGATGCCTAATGAAATTAAAGAAGGAAAGAATATACTCCCTCAGTCCCATAATGTAAAATCTTTTTTTAAGTCAAAAAACGCCTTACATCTTGTGACGGAGGGAGCAGATGCACCATGCATGGACTGTCAAAAAAAGAAAGCGGGTTTTACGAGTACGCTTCTGCCGTCGATGCGTCTGTGGCTGGCCCTCCTCGCCGCTCGACCTGGCACGAGGCAGGAGGCGAATCCTGTACGACCCGCTTGTGAGAGAGCTCCTCGTGGGGTGGCCCACCTGCCAGCCTCCCCATGCGGCCGGGTCGCACGTACGACCCGGTCGTACAGGATTATTTTGCCACGAGGCACAGCTCAGTCACAGTCACAGGGGATGAGGAGATGAGCGAGAGCTGCTAGGAGGAGGAGCGACACCACCCCATGGCTCCTCCTCAGTGCGCCGTCTCGTCGCCGCCCGCCCCCACCAATGCCGCCAATGCCGCCGGCGGAGGCAAGGGCAGGACGCAGCTGGCGGTGGCGCAGGTGAAGAAGCTCTGCAAGCAGGGGCGGCTCGAGCAGGCGCGGCGGCTGCTGCTGGACGCGCTGCCGCGCCCGCCGCCGACGCTGCTCTGCAACGTGCTCCTCATCGCCTACGTCGCCGCCGCGCTCCCGGACCACGCGCTCCGCCTCTACGCGCTCCTCAACCACGCCGCGCGCCCCGCGCCCCGCTCCGACCACTACACCTACTCGTGCGCGCTCACCGCCTGCGCCCGCTCCCGCCGCCTGCGCCTCGGGAGGTCCGTCCACGCGCACCTCCTCCGCCGCGCCCGCTCGCTCCCGGACACCGCCGTCCTCCGCAACTCGCTGCTCAACCTCTACGCCTCCTGCGCGAGGTACCGCCACGACGGCGTCGACGTCGTCCGCAGGCTGTTCGACGCAATGCCCAAGAAGAACGTCGTTTCGTGGAACACCCTCTTTGGCTGGTACGTCAAGACGGGGCGTCCCGATGAAGCCCTGGAGATGTTCCTGCGCATGCTGGAGGATGGCGTTAGGCCCACGCCGGTCAGCTTCGTGAACGTCTTCCCGGCGGCGGGGAGCGGCGATCCCAGCTGGCCATTCTTGCTCTATGGTTTGCTGATAAAGCATGGGGTGGAGTATGTCAATGATCTCTTTGTTGTCAGCTCGGCGATCGGCATGTTCTCTGAGATTGGCGATGTGCAGACAGCTCGGATGGTGTTTGACCGTGCTGCCAAGAAGAACATTGAGGTTTGGAACACGATGATCACTGGGTACGTGCAGAATGGGCAGTTTTCTGAAGCCATGGATCTCTTTATCCAGATACTGGGGTCTAAAGAGGTTCCATCGGATGTTGTGACTTTCTTGTCAGCCGTCACAGCGGCGTCGCAGTCACAAGATGTCAGGTTGGGTCAGCAACTGCATGGCTACTTGATGAAAGGAATGCACAGCACACTGCCTGTGATACTGGGTAATGCGCTTGTCGTGATGTACTCGAGATGCGGCAATGTTCAGACTGCATTTGAACTGTTCGATCGGTTGCCAGAGAAGGACATTGTTTCCTGGAACACCATGATCACTGCTTTTGTGCAAAATGATTTTGACTTGGAGGGCCTGTTGCTCGTTTATCAGATGCAGAAATCAGGTTTCATTCCTGATACGGTGACATTGACTGCAGTGCTGTCTGCAGCATCAAATACAGGAGACCTTCAGATTGGTAAACAGTCGCATGGGTATCTCATCAGACATGGCATTGAGGGCGAGGGCTTGGAGAGCTATCTAATAGACATGTACTCCAAGTCTGGCCGCATAGACATGGCTCAGAGAGTGTTTGATGGCTATGGGAATAACAGAGATGAAGTCACTTGGAATGCCATGATAGCAGGGTACACGCAGAGTGGCCAGCCTGAACAGGCAGTCTTAGCATTCCGGGCGATGATCGAGGCAGGTGTGGAACCTACTTCAGTGACACTTGCTTCAGTGCTTCCTGCTTGTGACCCCGTTGGAGGGGGTGTATGTGCAGGGAAGCAGATACATTGTTTTGCTCTGCGCCACTCCTTGGATACAAATGTCTTTGTAGGCACAGCTCTTGTTGATATGTACTCCAAGTGCGGGGAGATTTCTGCAGCAGAGAATGTCTTTGGTGGCATGACTGACAAGAGCACTGTCACCTACACGACAATGATCTCTGGTCTTGGCCAGCACGGTTTCGGCGAGAGAGCACTATCCCTCTTCTACTTGATGCGAGACAAGGGGTTAAAGCCTGACGCCGTGACCTTCCTGGCAACCATTTCAGCATGTAATTACTCTGGACTCGTCGATGAAGGTCTTTCTTTGTACAGGTCAATGGAAACATTTGGGCTTTTAGCTACCCCTCAGCACCACTGCTGTATCGTGGACTTGTTGGCTAAAGCCGGGAGGGTGGATGAAGCATACGACTTTGTAGAAAGCCTGGCTGAGGATGGGAACTTCATCGCCATCTGGGGATCGCTTCTGGCATCCTGCAAAGCGCAAGGCAAGATGGAGTTGGCAGCATGGGCGACTGAGAAGGTGCTCAACATTGAGAAGCAGTATGGTCATGCAGGCTACAATGTTTTGCTGTCGCAGCTATTTGCTGCTGAAGGTAACTGGAGTAGCGCTGATAGTCTGAGAAAGGAGATGAGATTGAGGGGGGCGAGGAAAGAGGTGGGTTCTAGTTGGATCAAAGTCCAGACTGCAGCATTGCAGGACAGATCTGTGGAGAGGAACCAAAAGCAAAATTTCCCCGAAAATGAGCATGTGTTCTCGATGCTGGATGGGGATACTTGCAGTACAAACGCAATCATTTAACAGTTTAAGTACTTATGGCACGGATAGATTGCAGATTTGTTGATACCTGGAGATTAGCAGGTGTCGATTAGCCCATACTGTCACGGATCGAACTCCTGCTGCCTGCGGTTGTCATGATTTGCCTTCTCCCAGAATACAACTCCTTTGGAGTCTTTGACTGGATGAAACATGAAACCCCAGCCTGCAGGCGAGGCTGCCATGGTGAAAAGGGGAGCAAGTGTGCCGAGACAACATCGCATGCTTCCATCGGAAATGAAACAAGTTGAGATCAATATAGGCATCCATCAGAGATGAAACAAGATGTTGAGATCGAGACCATGAACCACTGGGTGAAGAACCAGCTGCAGCGTGGACATCATTAATTCTGAGACCTGACATGTGAGTACGCCACTGTGAATGAAGTGTACATCAAATTTTTGTTCATACTTGTTGCTACCGAGACGCTGTAAACATTCATGTAAAATGTCAATTAAAGAAAAGTATCACAAGGTTATACTTATACAGCCAATTTAATGATGTTTCTTCAGCATTCTAGATATGAATGTAATATCTTAAATTAAGATCACATGATTACCCAGCTTGCACTCTGCACTCTGTACTAAAATATTTGGAATCACTCAGATCAAGGTAGCAAATTACTACAAGCCTCAAACGTACAGCCTGAAGCATCCCCATGATATAGCTGCAGAACAGTAGCTCGAATCCGTCAACAAAACCAGCAAAAGAACTGAAACGCCAGGGATACGCCAAAGCACTAAAGTTCAAATGAAACATTGAGCAAAAGAACCCAGCAGTGAAAGAATCATACTCCCTCTATTCCATAATTCTTGCCGTGGTTTTAGTTGAAACCACGACAAGAATTAACAATATGAGAATAAAGGTGATCACTGTAGTTATACAAATACAACAAAAATATCTCAATTGGATAAATCGGGCCTCCGGGTGGCAAATTACATGCCTCATTTGAGAATTTCAGTCTCAAACTTAGTTCGCTACAAGATACAAAACTTGCTGGAATGGTGACATTATCTATTGGTTTGCTCAAGTATGCTTCAGCTGACTTTACTTAGTTGGAGTGGTTGTCCTATGAAACATCACCCACCAGATCACCAGCCTGTGATTGGTGATGATGAATTCGCCAATGGTGTAGCAGGTAATGTTCAAGATTTTATCCTTAATCCTATGTTGATATCTTACTTGCTCTGTGAATCACAAAATTGCCCATATTCACATTCGCAAAGACCCATCCTCACCTGAAATTTTAATTCAGAAAGGGGGTGAGTAAACCAGCCACATCAAATACCTTATGGTGTGGTATATAGTGATGCAAATTGACAGCAGACCTTTCGTAAAGTGAAGGAAACTCGTCGCGAATTTCTTTTAATGACTTGACCAGCCACGTCATCAATCTACAAGGATCACATTACAACATTATACAATGTTGCATCATTTGGTATTAAATACAAGAGAAGAATTGGCAAAGACTTATTTATAAGGTTGATTTTTTATCCAACATATACATGATTCCTGTGAATAAAAATGAAGTTCAGTCGTTAATTTATGTACCTTGGCGGTTGAATTACTGTATGAGAAATGGTATGTTTAGAGCTGGAGTACGACAAGTTAACTATTTGGCACTTACAGAGATTACTAGCTAACTTGTGTATTCGTATTACTGTATGTTCAATGTTATGCTTAAAGGAGGAACAAAATACTGACTTAAATACCTTATGGTGTGGTATATAGTGATGCCAAGCATATCGACCTTCTCCAGACATGAGTAACATTGACCGAGGAGGTAGAAATACAGATTTCCGTATGCATTGTGGATCTTGGATGCTACCTTCATCAGTTCCATTGACCACACTTGGAGCACGCCAACTGCCTTTCGGGTATTGTCTGAACTCCATAATGCAAGGTCCAGCCAAAGAAAGACTAAAAATCATTTCTTCGAATGCTGAGTGTGTGTCTATGTGTGGAGACAAACCTACACCACAAGGATATTCATTTACCTGTAAGCACAATCAGGTTAATTCTATCATCAGTTGTCAACCGCTAATACTGTTAGTGATAGATAAGTAAGAAAAGAAATCCGTAATTAGACCGTGACCAAACCAACAACAGGAAATTTAAGCTACAGTTGCCACGTTCAGTGGAAACCAAAACAGTGGTAGGAACATGGAAACTTACCGTCAATTGATCCACCAGTTTTCCAGTACAATTCTTCACACCAGGGAATGTCACAATTTTGTCAAGGATTTTTGAAACAAAAGATGGCAATTCACCCAAAAACTGCTTCGAATCAACATTCCTGGTCTGTAAAGTCAACAAAACCTCGTTACAATGTAACTTTGAGCAGCCTTCACATCAAGGTTTGATGATTAAAGGTAAGGAGTGGCAAAGGAGATAGGAACTATGGAAAATTGTTCATGGTACATAAACCATCCTTTTGTACAGAAGAAGTTAAGTTGACTGCATATCATTTCACGGTGAAACTATGGAAAGTAGTTCTTGTTACATAAACAATCCCTATTCTTTTGTCCAATTTCCATTTTGTACACAAGGCTAAGGATAAGAATTTGCCAAAATGGCAGGCGAGCACTGATGCTACGGAGTTAACAATGGCAGGCAAAATGCAATTGACATTTCTTTTAGTGGGAACCTTTTTCATTTTGTACTGAAGAAAGAATTACTATATCCTTAGACAGTACATGAACTTATTGTACCAAATAAAACAGTACAAACTTATTAGACAAAACAAGGTAACCAATAGATAGATAGAACTAACTAATTGCAAAAAGGCAAGCGTAGTCACAGAGGGAAGGACAATCCGGACGATCATATACTTACAAGATCGAACTTACTTCATACAGAAATTCATAACCGTAATGCTGAACTCGCCTTTTCGCCAACCTTTTCCACGGCCTACTGTCCACGGCTGCAAGAAGCTCCTGCAGAAGGAGCAAAATTACAGACGCTGCTCAACCCAAATTTATTAGCAGCAAGCAAGCCGCCAATGGACGCTGAGACTCCAGTTCACGGACCTGTTCCTCGGCGGCAGTGACGAACTCCTGGACCAAGTGAACGCCCGGGATGCCGAGCTCCGACGACGAGAGGGCCACCGGGGGAGCGGAGACGGCGACGGGGGCCTTGGGCGGGGCGGGCACCGAGTAGCGCATGTGCAGCACGCGGCCCGCGAGGCGGGCGCAGGGGCGCCCGTGGAGCGCGGCCATCGCGGCCCCCGCGGCGGCGGGCTCGCGGAACCGGACGATGACGCGCGCGCCGCTGTCGTCGGCGGCGCTGACCGCCTCGACCTCCCCGAAGGCGCCGAAGGCCGCGGCGACGTCGTCGTGGGTCAGCCCCACCGCCGGCCCGCAGTTGGCCACGTACAGGACGGCGCTGGGAGCGGGGAGCGCGGCGGCGTCCTCGGCCGTGGGCGGCGGGCGCGTGTACCCAGACTTGGCCATCTGCGGTGTCGCGTCGCGGCAGCCGGAGATCGAGTAGAGGGAGAGGGGAACGAGCACGCGAGCGGCAGTGGCGGCGCGGCGGGCAGTCGTGTCGCGGCTTTCCTTTTCCCCGCGCGACGGCCCAGTTTCGGCCGTTTTTGCTCAGGGTGTTACATAAACGGGAATTTCATACAGAACCTCATAAGTTCGCAAATGACTAGAGAACAGGGATAGTTCCCACATTCCAAACACAACCACGGAACTTCGACAAAATGCCTCAGAAGGGGAATTTCGGCTCTATTTGGATTGGAGCCCATGAATATCACTGGAAACCTTTCAGTTTCTGCGGGTATCAAGGAAAAACTCCCAAGGTTTCCGGACCCCAAGCGTATGCGAGCACCAAGGCAATGGCATTGCAACAGTGAGAGCAATGAACAGTTAAAAAACAATGTAGAATCTGGGATAGTTGTAACTCTAAGACACGCTGAGTCCGGATTCCAAAGGCTCGAAAAGCTTCACCAAGTGAACACAACCAGATAATGCTGTAACGATCGATTCTATTATATATCATAGAGTTCGAGACTGTCTTGACAATCAGGGACCCAATGGAGCAACGCAAATGCAGCAACATTGCAGGAAAGAAAAAGGAAACCAATAGCCAGAACCATCGCAACTCCGGTTTCGCCAGTACAAATAATTTATCCCGGCAATGAATGGCATTCCTCCGAGTCCACGCTAAAATATGCTCCCATAATCTTTTCTGGGAAGGGACGAGGGTAGCCCGCCCGTCGTAAACGGATGCACGCCTGATCCTCCTGCGCAAATTAGGACAACTTACTTAAGAATACCAAAAGAAAAGGTGCTTCTCGAATCCGCTAAAAGGGTTCGGAAATTACCCCAGGGCACTCCCTCACCCATGCCATAGGGAGGCCATGCAGGCTGCCCGCTTTGGTGACTCCCCATCGGTGGCCGCATATGACTGTTAGTTGGCTGGTTGTATCTCGGTTGAAGAAATTGATGGCGACCTCGGAGACTTTGCTGAGGATAGTTCGGAGGGTTGAAACCACCGTAATTGATTGGAACAGTAGGACGGGTGCCCCTCCCATGGGAGCCTGAGTGAAGTTGCTGACCCGCTCCGTAGCTACGAAGCGCAACAAAAGTAATTAGTTGGCATAACTTGGAAAGGAGCAGATCATATAACATGGATTGTTGTGTCTTGATTCTTGAACTGAAAAGACCGATCTTGTGAAGCAAAAAAAGGGACATCTCAAGATATTCTGTCAGGTGGGTTCTTGTTTTGACAAAAACTCATTTAAAAAATTTAGAACACAATACCTTTGGCTTGTCGGTAAAGGGTTAGAGCTTGCAAAGTTGTGGCTTTGGGCACGGGTTGATCTGGCAGATCCGCCTGGCTGACCAGTTGCATCTCTAATATGAAGGCTGCTGCTTAAATCAGCTGACAATGAATTGTCTTCTTGCAATAGTGACTCATCACTGCAAAATAGAACAGTGTAACCATTTGTATTCAGACTAACTTTACAGGAAGCAATTTGAGCACACAATTCCTTACCTATAATTAGGATCCCAATCAGAAGGATCAAGTGTTGATGGAGCTGATGTATCCGGTAATACGTCAAATGAGGGCAAAGGTGGAGCATTATGTGAATTATATGCTTGGGAAGGCCCATGACTAGAAGAAGCCTCCACGGAAAAACCACTCCTGGAAGCTATTTGTGGTCTCCAACTAGAATGACCAGAACTAGGTAATGAATGCTGAGAGTAGCCAGCATGTCCGCGAATATAGGCATCCGAATGACTAAAACTGACACCATCTCCATGTCGTCCTTGTCCATGCTGAGATGCATATTCATGTGGTGGCATCGGCATGTTCTTCCTCTTGCTGTATTGGCCTACTGGTCCAGCTTTTCCCAATGGGGAGCCATGAATGCCTCCACTCGCAGGAGAACCAGAGCCATGCTTCCCAGTAGAATTAGCCGGGGTATGCATCTGGTAGTTTGGTGGGGTAAATTGTGATGGACTGGCACCAAGAGACATAGGCCCCATACTTCCAGGGCTCAATCGAATGCCTCTATCGTAAGAGAGACGAGGTCTCAGCCTAATATCTGGACTAGAGCTAACATGTGAAAATCCAGAAGGACCTACTGGTGAGTAATACATGTTGCCATTATAAACATCACCATAGCTTCCATAGCTGCTAGCAAGACCAGCATTGCCAGCATAGCTACCATGGCTACCAAGACTTCCATAACTACTCCCATAAGAAAAAGGCATTTTTGGAGGATAGGGGTTATTAGGAGGTAGACATCTGTTCACACTTCCAACCTAAAAAAAATTAGAACACGGGACATTTCAGTTTTAATGGACAAGAAAGATACCATAGGATTATAATTCTGCAAATTTAACTCAGGAGCAACATAAGAGAGTAGTTATCACCTGAGGGGAAAGACCTGCAACTAACCAGTGACCTCCTCCTGGATTGTGATCAACTGCTGCAGCATGAGCAACAGGCTACAACACAAATCAAAAACAGGATAGGTTTGAGAAAGAAAGAAAGATTGAATGAATGTGTTTACAAGCTAAAACTAAACTGTCTTTTAATTAAGGTAGAAAGCTATCTTATATCTACTAAGATCAACGATGCAACCTGTAGAACAACACTAGTGTACACAGGGAGCATTTTACATATTGATAGGTTTGTCGATTGGTGTATGTCTGTATGAAAGAGACAGGAAATTAAGTTAACTATCCGCAGACCATTGATCATTATCCTCAACGAGGCAATATGCCAACAAAAATTCACAACCTAATCTTATTTTTATGCAAATATACTTGTCATTCCTCCAAAGATAGATAATTTCAAACCCCAAAGCAGAAGCACGTCATCTAGCTTAATTTCAATTTCCTTCTTTGATAAATACGAAGTTAAGACACTAGAAGTAAAACCGTACTCACAATTCTTGGAGTCTCAGAGACGGGCTCGTATGGACCAGTAAAAGGTTCGCCTGTAATGAATGGATGGCCTGACGCCTGAAATAGGATTGTACAAATCATGTCCTTGCACATGGATCTGAATTATGTGAAATTACCAACTTGTACGTAAGAATAAATTGTGTTTTCATGAGTAAAATCTAGTAAAAATATATATATACTGTTATAGAAAGAAATGACGATTCATCAACTTAACCTGACATAATAGACTCTAATGAGATTGAAAATATTGAAGTCTCAACCTTTACATAAAGGCCAAGGCAATACAATTGCACAACTAGCATGGGAATACCTGAAATGGCGACCATCGCTTATTTGGATCAAATTCAAGAAGTCCCCTCAAGAAATCAACTAACAGCACGCGATCTGCTTTTTCTGTCTCTGAATCAAAATGCAACACCTGAGAACATGATATCAAACTTGCAAGCTGTACTCTAAGAGCTCTATGCTGCAGATTCAAGATAGTTGTACTCTAATACCAAGCCCAAATTGAAGCAAATATCCCTACAATGTCTATACTCCATAGTCCATACTAATGACCACTAACCCTGAGTCAAGTTGCAACCAGTTTATCATTCGTGTTACTGATCGAAAGCAGCACAACGCCTAACTATAACAAGATAACCTTTATAGGGGCACAATGCATTGCTTTCAAAGACGAAATTACAACTCAAGAGGACACCAGCATGTACGGCAAATTAAAAAAACAATACTGACAGGGAGCAGATTGAAAGGGCTCCCTCTAGTTCCCAAAAAATGTCATTTCAGATACTAGCAGTCTAAAAAGCACAACTTTGACTACCATGTTTTATTATAATATCCAAAAAGCCTGACAAAACTACAATTTACTAAAGCACATTTGATAATATAAGTTACACATGTGATTTCCAAAATCCGATCAAGATATTTATAAAGATAACAGTAGTCAAACTCAAAAGTTTGACTGCAGCTATGTCAAAAGTGACACGTTGTGAGCAGGAGGAAATATCAACGAGGGTACATATGGTACTGATCTGAAGCCTATTCTAGGCAACAGCTAAGAAGCCAAAATCTATTCACAGAACTAAGGAGACGACAAAAAGACAAACCTGGCAATTTTGTATTGTCCCAAGGATAGGTATATATTAGTTGGTCCAACCTTTGCTGTGGGAAGTACCATTTCCCTAATTTCGGCCTTTTGGTCTCCCTCTGGTATAGATAGCAAGGCAGAGCATTAAGATAGTCTATAATACGACAGAAATCAATGTTATTTTGTCGAACCACAAGAAACTTACCCCCTCAACCTCGTCTTCACTTAACATTCTGTATGCAGTGCCAGGGCCATCATGTGGCCCAATACCCAGATAACTACTTCCAACATGTTTAAAAAATTTAGTAGTATTCTTAGCTTCCCTTAGCAAGTCATCTGGTGGTTGCCCCCTATAAATGTTTTATTCAAAGGAACAAAAAAAACAAGCATTATAACATGGTAAAGCTCGCCTGTGTAAATTTCTTAACTGACCAAAAGAACTAAAAGGGTAAGATTATAACAACAGTAAACTCAGCAGAGGCATCTGCTATAGCATGCTGACATGTACTTAATAGTATGTAGATACAGAACTAGGAGAGAAAATTATAGGTACAGGACCTACCCGAGAATCTTTAGCATACGCTTAAGCACATCATATTCTGATGCCCCAGGAAATAAGGGTAGACCTATAAACAATTCGGCAACTATGCAACCGAATGACCACATATCAATCGCAGTAGTATATCTGTAACTGTTAAGGCTCACGTAATTTGAAAAGGCAAAAAGAACTTCATTGAAGAAAGCATTGCTCTTTATAATAATAATAAATATAAAAGAGCATTCCAGAAAATGTTGAGCAAGATCCTTATGGTGAATGATATGCAACAACTTGCCCTGTATATAGGATACGGATAGCCAAGGAGAACTTCTGGAGACCTGTAATAGCGGCTCTAGCAAAAAGGAAGGGTCGAAGTCTTACTTTCAAATAACAAACATTACTTGAATAAAAAAAGGGTTTAATTATGATGTTACAGAAGTTTAAAGAAACCTGGATGTATGAGTACACAGTTTTACCCTCCAGGCATGCTGATCCAAAATCAATAACTTTCACTGCTGCAGCTGTTTTTGCACTGTAAATTCATTGTACAACCTCAAGCAATAGTTAGCCAGGGAAAATACCATCCAAAACATAATAGTGTAAAATTCAATACTGATAGGGGCTACTCACGTCGGAGCTAAGAGGATATTTTCTGGTTTCAGATCGCAGTGAATGATGCCACCATCTCTCATCACTATCATGGCATCCAATATCTGAAAACGTAAAACAAGATCAAGTAACAGGTACTAGGTTACTAGTTAATGGGAAATGCATACTAAGACCATACCTGTTTTGAGAAGGCCTGTACAAATTGCACTTTCAATCCTCTTAAATGATTCCTTTTTAAAAGCTCATACCTATAATCTCGAAGTTCATAGTGCAGTCTGAACAAAACTAAAAAGGAATGAACCTACAACCGAAAAGGTTCGACAGAAGTAAACTTACAGATTTTGACCAAGCATTTCAAAGGCAATACACAGGTGATTTTGGAATGAGAGATAATCTAGCATTCGGACAATGTTGTGCTTATCATCAGGATCAAATTTCTGATTTAGCTGCAAGCATAGCCACAACTAAAATGGTGAGCCATCGCATATATTAATGAAAAAAGTTCCTAATGGGCTATCATACCGTTCTCAACAGTGAAACCTCCATTATGGCCTGCTGATAAAACGCAGGCTGGTTTTTTATAACCTTCACAGCAACATACTTGTTGGTTTCTGTGTCCCAGCATTTCACAACTTGGCCAAACGTGCCTTGGCCAAGCATTTCCTTGACAACGAACCTGAGTATCAAAATGAGAAAGAGGTACAGTTCAACGATATGCTAGTCATGCTCAGCCGCAGCTTTCCAGACTCTCGGAACAGCAAATGCTGAGACAGCCAATTCCGATTTATTAACAGAACTTCCGGACATGACATGAAAATTGGAGACGCCAGTTCATCTAACTTAACTGCATATGTATAAGCATAATCTTCAATTACTTCTCAACAAACATGCCTTAGCGAATTTCAAGATGAACATACTTGTTTATTGATCACTGGTCAGGATGTATAAAGCCTTTTTCACATACTCCCTCTGATCCAAATTAATTGGTGCAGCCTCTATACAATGTAAAATGGACACTGTATAGAGGCTTGGTCAATTAATTCAGATCGGAGGGAGTAACTGATTCTGGAAGAGTAATACCATCCCCTATAATAGTCTACTAATTTATACAGTAACAGTGCATGATGCACTAAAAAGATGGACAGGAAGATGAAACAAAGCTAATGAGCACATCAAACACCAAGTCTGGGGAAAATTTACCTCCGATTTGATGTCTTGTTGACCAACTCCAGGTTGACATACAATATGAGGTCCCAATTTGCATTATCAACTCCATCATTGTGGGCCGGGGTCGAAGGATGGGTGAGAAAGCGCTTTGGGTTTAGTGTCTCTGAGTACTTAAACTCAGGGTGGCATCTTTCAAAAGTGTTAATGATGTCCGCCGTTAGCCTTGCAACGCACTACACGATAAGAAGTGTCAGCTGGCAGCTGAAGGACAAAAGCATATGGAACAAGAGTTGTAACGAACAAGTGAGACAGCATCTCGATGTCTCGATATGGTAATATCGAATCGTTTATAGCGCATACAAACAAACTAGTGAGAATGTTCGCCCATAAATGTCGCTTAAAAGTGCATGGACGGTGTCTTATTCAAATGCATGGATTGTGTCTTATCCAAATGCACATCAAACTTGGAGAACTTTACCTACAACATTTCTTAGCTGAACAGTGAGCACTATTAGGACTTAGGGTGGATGCTGAAGTGGCTACAAATGAGTGCTGTACCTCGGAACATTCTTACTAGCTAAATATAGTTTGGTACGTACATTTTTCTCCCCATTTGTGATCCCCCCTTCAGTTGCACTTAATGAGTACAGTACAAGACACTACAAACTTGACGGGCAAACAACAACGCCATCTTATATGAAACTCCAGCACTCTAAACCTGTTAGTTCATAGAGACGAAACTAAGAGCATTTGACTAAACATGCTAGCAAGGAGCAAGGAAGCAACAGTGGTAATGGACTAGTGCTACGATGAGCAGTCAAAAGCTACATCAACATGGTAAGCTGAATTCAGCAACATCCAAGAGCCAGCCTGTGGTAAGGAACATGGCAAATAGGAGGAGAATGAGGCGTACCGGTTTCCTCTTGACGCCATGAAGCTTGCTTATGCGTGCGGCAACGCCACTGCCCGACCCCGACGGGGACGGCTCAGCCGCCCCCGCCCCTGCGCCCGCGACGAAGGGCCGGAACACCGTGCCCTCGCTGGGCGCCCACGCCGGCGCCGCGTCCTTCCCCTGCCTGCCGCTCCCCTCCATACGCGCGCGCGGGCGGGGCAGCTAGCCTACTCCGAGGCCGCGCGGGGAGATCTCGCCCTCGCGGCCGACGCCCACCGCCACGCGCCCCCGACTCCGAGCCCGGCCCGAGCGGCGACGATCACAGCGTCCGCGGGAGCAGCCGAGCAGCCGCCGGAGGAGTCCAGCTCCATCCTAGGCTGCGTCCGCGGCGGCCATCCCGATCCCCCGGCGCGACGCGACGCGACGGGCGGCAATTCCGTGCCCCGGCGGCGGAATTGGGATCGGATTGGGCCCGGCGGGGTAGGGTTTTGTCCCGTTTGTTTGTTAATTACTGCAACAACGGCGGATGAAACGAAACAGAAATAATCGCGGGATGAAGAGAGAGA